AGATGAGCTTAAAACTTAACTATAATTCACCTAAAAAAATTGATTAAATAAATATATATTCCTATGTAAACTATTAAATTACTAATACTATTATTATTATTTGATTTTCTTAAAAAGAAATGGTTTTTGTTCCATTACGTTAATAAACATACAATTAACCCTATTATTAAACATTAATTTTTATAATCTATTTTTTTTAGCAAACATTTCGAGCACTCTCAAATATAGAGTCTACGTTTGAGAAAAACATGCTTAAAGTTTTAAAACAATAATGGTTAGAATATTTTAAGAATAGAACAATTTTATATAATTTAGGTTCAAACTGTGAATACAAAAATGTACTTACTAAAATACATATTATAATTTATTATATTAGGTAGGCTATACATAACGCAGTCTCATGAAAGTGAGTTTAAATTATAAAAATAAATTACTACTATAAATGTAGATTCTGGTATTAAACGAATATAACGTTAAACATGTTTTTGGACTAAAATTTAGTTTTGTGTGAGATGCTATAATATTATACAATATGGTGATTCGATTTGGGAGTGAATCATTGTTACTACATAATAATTTCGGAAATCCATTTGAAAATTCCTCTATATTATAATACTTTATATTTTTTCGAAAAACTCGTTTGACACATTTATTTGTAGTTGCAGTCCTTGGAATTGTCAACGAATAAGTTTGTCTATAAATCTTGCAGCCTACAGCCCTTGTGATCGGCAATGAGTGTGTGTGTATGACGTGTTTGTGTGTTTGTGTGTTTGTGTGTGTTCGTGTGCATGTGTGAGTAAATATTTTAATGGATTGTCTCGATTATATTTCTTGCATCAGTCCATCAGTTGAGTGCTGAATCCGGCGATAGCGCTAAAGGTAGACAAGTACAATAGTATCGGGTACGACATATACGATTGTCAGCTTGAGTGTACGACGTTATGACGTGAATTCGGTTTTTACCTTTTGTAAGGTAAATAGTATTAATCATGAATTAATTCATTATAAGCATAATAACCGAATCACACATTATGCATTTTTGAAAAGTCCTAAACATTGACTGACTAAATTACTTTTTTAAAAATGAAATCGTTTAAATACTGATAATTGCTTATAATTATTAATTAATATACGTGGCTAGCAAGAATTTGCATGGAATATCTCCTAATAATTCGCACTCATTTGGCCACGTGACGTATCTCCAACATCCCTTAAACACCCTCCCTCGTCAACTTCCCACTCGTATCAAAAATTAAATTTATTAGTATTTTCCAATTCGGATATTTAGCAAACATTAGTTAAAACTCATTATTATGATTGGTTTCAAAACCATAACGTTACCTTTTGACCCCCAAAACATTTGTTCTAATTCATATAATATGTGGTCAGCCCCGCTCAAATCAAAATATTTTGATTGACCACATTTTTCCTGCGTCATTATTTAGCACGTAATTGGCATGTAATTATACTTCAAAACCCAAAACTCTAACGTTGATTGTTGGCTCTCCAAAACATTTGTCCTAATTTGCACATGTTGTCAGCCCATCTAGTGAAATCAAAGGCAAGAATGCTAAGTCAGTCACATTACTTCATACACTGTAGTGATAAACGTATAGATATCGTTCTCAGGTTGCAAATATAGGACGACCTGTCTGCAGGTTTTGTCGTAGAATATTGATACTCCTCTACTAAAAGTCTCTTAAAAATTGTTACACCGAAAATGTATCCCAGTATTATTCGATCTTTCTTCATTTATCCGGGATCTAGTGGTGAGCGAATGGGTCTGCATCTAGTGGCTCACCGATCGAGATACCACAACAATTTTGGTAGCCCAGAGAGCTCACTACGGGATTATGTCTGACCGCTGACGATTACGAATGGTTACATGGGTCGGGGTCTTTGCAACCTGTCGGCCACTCACTAAAGCAGGACTATTTAAGTGCGGGCTGGTGTGCTTCACTCGGGACACTGGTGATACTGTAATCGGTGAATTCTTCTGCTTGTCCACTGAATTTCACAGTACACAAGAAATAGCCATCGTGGTTGGCCCACGATGTGTTCTTAGTACCACTCTGGCTACCCCTGATCATTATAAGAGAGGAGTTTTGTCATCACATACCAGGTGTACATGGAAGCATACTCATGTGTATAGTGGCTTACTCACTTCCATGCTTATGATTTTTGACGTTTATTAGCTGTCCGTTGAACGTTTAATTGCTTGAACACTAAATCGCCGACAGGTCCACTGTATTAGGAATGTTTGGTTTTCCGTCGTCATAATATTTCTTATAGATTATGATGGAAAGCCATTTCGTTGAACAGGTGTTATCTATTGAGAATGCACGTATCTACCAGGCCTAAAGGGTGTTTCCATGGACATGGTTTTGCCAGATTTCGGTCTACCCACCCAACTGTATGAGTTTTATGACTTGGGTGTGGTCATATCTTGCACCTCTATGCTCTAATAATGATTGGTGTTTTAGTCACGTGTGTACTGTTACATGTTTAATTTTACCAATAAAATGAAAACATTTTTTAAATATTAAAATTTCATATAAATAGGTGGGTGTACAATATTATGATAAGTCATAATTTTTGGTTTAACAAAAACAATTGCAAGTGCATTGTCTTTTATTAATATCTGAAATACTTATTGCATTAAAAATAATATAAATATGTATAATATTGTATTCATTCTCCTTCTGAAAATCAGTTAACTATTTTAAAAGCTTGTAATTTATATACAAGTAATAAAGATGACAAAAAGATGTTTAAAATATCAGAAATGAGTAACATTATTCCATTGCTAACTAGAAGTAAAATTATTTAATGTTATTATTAAAATACTCTATAATATTGATAAAATACCGATCACTGGCAAAGTGAACCTATATTCTAAATATTATTTTTTTTTTACATAATTTGTATTCAACTATGCATAATTCTAAGACTCTAAAATATAATAATTTCGATAAATAAATTATCACTGAATAATACTTAAAAATTTAAGAAAAATTACGAACTTTGACATTCAATTTATATATCATTAAGGAAATCATTAAGATTAAAATATCCATAAAAACCTTTAAAACTAAATGTTTTTTAATATTCAAGTGAGCGAACTGGAAAAGTTGTTATAGATTTTTTTCTGTGAATACTTGTTGTTTTCAACTTTTTCTGAGGATTTCAAATTTACCTCTCTTCCTTTTTTTTTTATTCTCAACAACTACAAACACATTAAACATACACGAAGACGTTGGCACATCTGCAGTTGTTCTTTCATGTTGAAACAACTTCTGAGGCTTTGTTCCATTTCACACCTGCTCTGCCCAAAAATATTTCCAAATCGGTTATTTCAAGTAGAAATATTAAAATATACATAAGAGCTTTATTTGTATGTTTCAAGTTTAGTATTTTCTGGAATTATAGAGTTAATATTGTATTATTACTGTTCCTCTTTTTTTGTTATACGAAAATATCGATTTACTCTTTATCTAGTCAAATAAAAAACAAGTATGTATACACTTATTACCATTCCTTCCAAGCTACCATACATACTGAAAAGCAGTCTTCTGGTTCGTTTTATTAATACACTTTCACAAATAGATTTGTATATTATTTGTTATCCCAGTATAATTTACAATTCTAAATATGTATATGGTGTATGGTATTATTTCTTTAATCTAATGACAGTCTAAAAAATAAAAAATAATTTCAAATCAATAAAGTAAAAATGAAATCTAAGATTTTTTGTTATATTATGTTAAATATCATCCATACTGCCATCATTATGATTATAATTTATTATCCATTTCTATAACTTAGTATAACATATTATATTATGTTTATACATATATTATATCAATAAAGTAATCATTTAATTTCTCTTTATATTCATATAAAAAAGGAACACGTTTTAATTTTAAAAAAAAAACCGTTCTTATCGACTTATTATCACAGTGATCAACAATACAGATAGGTGAATCAAATTAAAATTAAAATTGATAATAATTGTATATACTATTTGATCATAATATTAAGCATCCCAGTGGCAAGACTATGGTGCTTTGGGGGAATAGGTGGGTTGGATCACCGTTTTTCTTGGCCTGTGTAAATATTTAAACATGTTAAAACTCTCATAGTAACCCAGCTAGGTTACATACAATATTAGTATCCAGGATAATACATTAATTTTAAATATATGGATACAAATATAGTCTTTTTATTTTCGATGAAACGTCATCATCATATTTGTCACGTACTGCCTTCATGTAGCAACAATATGTCTATAAATTGTTTATCTCTATATAGAAAATAACTAAATGCCATTAAAACCTTGTAGAACAGTGAAACATATTATCTGTTTCAAATATTATGTTCAAAACACAATCTCAAAATAAAAATAACTGCTATAAATTCATTCCCTTAATTTTTTTTTAAAAACTCACAACGTGCCCTATACGTTTTTGTTCTTATACGTTTGAATGACATTTCTAGTTTTTTGAAGGAGTATATAAATAAAATAGGCACTTGTTATTAGTACTATTAAGCCATAATAATTTGAGCACAAATATTCAGTTAACAGTATTAATAATCATAATAAATTAATAATAGATATTTCCAATCAATATGTATAATGTCATTATTGTATAATATAACTTACAGATCACCAATCATATTATCTATATAATATATTACAATGTCCACCACGATGTATTAAAATAAGATGGTCCAAAAATTGGCTTATTAATAAACGATAATAACCAATGATAACAACAACTAAAAATAAATAAATACAAAAATTAATACGTAAATAAAAAAATATTTATATTTATAAGCCAAAGGAAGTTCGATCACTGGATGGCTTCCCTCACCCTTTTTCATGCATTAATTGCTTGTAGCACATATTTTTATAATGCCCTAGGGCATAGATTTTACATTTCTTAAGAAATATATATATATTATAATGCTATCTATTTGAAATGCTAAACGTGTTTAAGGTATCGTGGATTCGACATCGGGACATACATCTTCTCACTGCGGGAAGGTACACATATACAAGTGACCAACGGTTCGAGGCCATTCATGAACCACATTCAGAAAACTGGTCGTTAAGGATAAAATATCCGCAAAAAAAAGATTCTGGTATATATGAATGCCAGATAAGTACCACTCCGCCCATAGGACATCCCGTATACTTAACTGTGTTAGGTAAGTCGACATTAATCTAATATGTTATAAAATCAAATTATTCAATATTTTTTAGAATAAAATATGTAGTGTTAGGTAGGTATTTTATAACGTTCTCGATATAATTTGTTTAGCTAAACATGACTTTATTTATTTTTCATTTTGTAATAGTAAAACGAATAACAAAATATACTTGATGAAATTCAATCATTAAAAATATGTAAAATATTATTTTTATAAAGATGTATAAAATAAGCTAAATTTTGAGAAAAGCAATATAACTCAGCAATTTATACATTATGAAAATCCACTAACAAAACTCAATTATATACAACTACGAATTCTAAATGAAGTGAGAAAAGTGAAAACTATTGATTTTTTAGTAGTGTATTCATTTTATTTTTATTTTTTGTATTTATATACGCTTTTTGGCACTAAAAATGTTTTAGTTGCTATATACTATACTGTATAATTTTCTACCAATAGGAAATTGGGTTCAATATTATTTATATAATAGTTTATAAGTACCTACACAGTTTAAAATATTTAGTATTTTAATGTAAGTTTTTTTTATTTATCAAACATATAGACATATTGACATAATTACTAAAAGTTAAAAAATTCAATTAAAATTACATTTGAATATTGATAAATATAAGCTTATTGAAAACGATAGGAAATAAAGTTTTAATGGATTTAAAAATACCATTTACGTTATTTTATTTTTATACTTTTAACATTCATAAAACAAAATTGTTCATTCTTAAAAAAATTAGATGCACTATAATTAATCTTGAAACACAAAAATTAATTATTGATGAATAGACTCGTCATATTATTAAATTAAACACAACAGCTATAATGTGACAGCAATATTTAAAGTATTTTATCTGTAATGATTTTATTGATAGCTCGATGGATAAAAAAAAATGTCTTTCAACTTGTACAGTACAAAAACATAATGATCCAATGGTAGTTACTTGTATCGAGTATATAATTAAGTTTAATTTATGATAGTAAATATTCGACTTGAATTAAAATGATTAATAGTAATATTTCTATGATATTATAAAAACAAATAGCTTATAAATATAAATATTACTTTTAAGAATTTGTTACCAAGTCATAATAATTACAATTTTTATACCCTAAAAACTTTTATTATTAACTTACTTAAATTAACACTAAGAGTTCAATAGAAAACTCGTTTAAGAAGAAACATAACTGCTGAATTAACTATTCTAAATTAATAGCATTATAACTTTTGAATACGCGATAAGTACTATGAGTATGCATAATAAAACTTAATGCAATAATATAATGTATTATTTAGCATGAATTAATATTATTATACATACTATTTAAATTTAGGTAATACAACCATGGTCAATTTATGGATGCTGTTGGCGTGTATATTATTTAACTTGATTCTTTTTTAATGCAATTTTTAAATCATTCTGACAAACATACAACTGTAGATAACAAAATAATATGGAATAACCACTGTTTTAGTTTATTAATGTAAACCATTGAATGCTAATACTCCGTGAGTTGGTTAAATTTTTTTTCAAATTCCGAATATAAAGTTAATCGATTTACCTGTTATTATGAACGAATGTTAGACCTATTCTCTATATTATATTATCTTGGCATTGAAAATAATTTAATGTGACTTTTCGATCAATTCGTGTGGTTGCATAATATACTTTTTGTGATAGTATGTAGATCGGTCGAAGAATACCCAACTGGTCTGAATAGTAAGCATTGTATAATACAGTTTATTCATCGATATTCCTTTTCTATCTACGAGTACTAACCTAGAAAATAAATGATGCGTTAATAATATTGAATATATATTATGTATATATAATATAATATATATATGTATACATTTAACATATTACAGTGACTTACTCAATGACGAAGTACACTTGACGCCTACTATACGGAAAAGCGGATACCTACTATCCTTATTTTTTATACAAACATATATTTGAAATACTCGTCATCTTTGTTTACTACATAATGTAACTGTGTTTTTGAAAAGGAAATTTATTACCTACATGATGAGTGTTATAGATATAATTAGATGTTGAATGAAATTAATAATAGTATTAAATGTGATACAATAATAAATTATTTATCGAGCGTACTATAGTGGTTTATCTTTTTTATATTTTACTACAAACACATTCTAGGTAAAATGAATACCTGCAGATGTTTTGAGTTAATAATTTATCGATTAGAAATTCAGTTTGGTATCTTTAAAAAGTAATTTTTTGTTTTTCTCAGAAATTTTTTGAACATAAATTACTTTTCAAAATCAAAATCAATACATTTTCGCTTCGCTCGGAAACGAAACAAATAAATTTACTTTTCTGGTGTTTTTTAAATTAATTTTTCCACGAATTTATAATGTTATACATAAAATACAAGTATACATTGTATTAGTGGATAATATATATGACGGAGGATATTAAAAAAAAAATTATATTTTGTATTTCAATAATATTTTTATAATAATAGTATAACAACAGATTATAGTTCGAGAAATTCGGAAAACAATATATATTATATATTTGAAAAAATGTTTCAATTATGTTAACTAAACTTACATCATGAATTTATATATTTGTACAACAGCGACTATTGAATTGTTTTTCGTAGAAGTCTATATTATTGTGGTCGTTAAAAACGTCTCTACGAAAATACATACTCTCTATGGTTTATCAAAATATTCTGTGACACAATAGAAATAACAAATGATTCTTGGCATTTAAATAAATTAAATCGTTGCAATGGTTTTAGATATTATGTACGTCGATATGAATAAATATATGTATAGTGACACGAAAAAACAAGCAAGGAAGGGGGAGCAAGTTGAATGTAAATTAGGAGACCCCCGTTATCCGATTAAACAAACTGCGCGCGAGTCAGTATTATCGTATGGGGACACAGGACCGTGACTGGGATCCTCGGAAAACTTTTTTTTTACGTTATATCTTTTTTTTTCACTAGATAAATTTGCATGTGACGATATAACCTGGTCTCGTGGGATGAAGTAAAAAATGCGATGCGGAAAAAAAGTTTTCTTTGGTTTAATGTAACCAATAAATCTGACGACAACCTATGGATGAGCGGGGCCTTTCAACGAAAAAAAATGATCATTGACAATCATTGACAAAATTATTTTCGTTAAATAACTTTTAGGCAGTATCTAATTAATATATTTATATTAGGTATGTTTACAAAATTGTCACTTAACTGTTCAAGCTGAACATGCTAATTTGAATGATTTGGTAACTAAAATAGACAATATAAAATATAAATAATTGTATTTAAGTATATTATTTAAATTTAAGAAATTTATACTATTGACTTCAAGAGTAAGTTGTAATTTAGTAAGATCAGTTTCACCGTTTTAATTATATGTGTACTATTACTATAGATTGATATGTAGGTAATATATTATAGATTAGTTTATGAAATTACATTAAGGTTACTGGAAATTATTGCAACAAGCGCTATATAATACGTATAGTAGATAAGGACAGTGGGTTTTATCACCAAAACTGTGTAAAATATATGTAAATATTGATATATAATGACAATAATATATTATAAGGCATTAGTAAATTTCAATTCAACTTTTTTTCACCTTTTTCATGAATTTTTTTTTACTGGTATTATAATAAGATACCATAAAAATAAACAATTTATTTATAAACATATTTATAGTACAGTGAACGTACCTAAGTACCAAGCAAAAAAATCAGATTTCAAAACAACTTGAGTTTATTATTTAATCACTATAAGAAATACTATACCAAATAATTTTTGATGGCGATATCTACAACTTCACTGTATTATGAACAATTGGTTCAGGGTGTCTGCAGTTTCTCTAAATAACTTTATTGAGTTCCAATTATAATAGCTACAGCATTGAATCAAACTTAAATAAAATATATATAGGTACAACCTCATAATATTATTTTTATCATAATCAAATATTATTTTTCATTACTATCCGGCTAGACCGAGCTCAATATAAAAATAAAAACAATGTATTTTTATTTTATTCTTCCGTTCAAATGAAAAACTTAACCATCCCGAAAGCTTTCCTTCCGTAATTTTAACTGCATACAATAATTGATTAAGCTACAAAATAGATGTAATTCCGATTTGATATTATCGAGGTATTAAAACAACAAATTGTGATGATAACACTGTTATTTGTTACGGCATAATGACTATTGATTTTGACGTCTTGCCTGATCGGTTTTCACAAAACGGCCAAAACGAATATCCAATCGATGTACAAAAACACATCGAGCTGCTGCAGTGTAAGCACTAATAATTTAATCAGTTTATTTCGACGAGCACAATACAATATTACACGAACACCGTAATCGTGGATTTAATGTTTTTAACGGTTTTTGCGATGCACACACACTCACACACCCTCACAGAGGAATACATACATACATGCATGCATACATACATACATACATACATACATACATACATATATACTATATACATACATACATACATACACACGTACATACATGCATCCAATGCACTATTACGAACATATTATTACAATACCGATTTCGTAGCTATTTAACCTGCCGAAGGCATTCGGTATTTTATTACGTTGTCGCTAACCAAAATCAATAGGTAAAACTATTCCGGCGAACGGGCTGGTGGATGTATAGATGCAAGCACAGGTAACTGCATACCTAGGTATACTATATACGATTTCACATTATAGTGCATACCATAATGAATAATGATATTAGGTAATATCAAAATATAATATAATAAATAATAGTGTATCGAATCGTTTCGCGTATGATATTATGGTATCACACTGATATACGTGTGTTAAGAGCACGAGACACGCGAGCTAGGAAAAATAAAACGTAAAAGTGAAGTAAATTCGGTGGAAAATATAATATAATATACCAACTGAAATGAAACCGTTCATGCCAACGCGACAATGTCGTCGCTGTCATAAC